TGAGGCGGGAGCCTGCGCGGGGGGAAACGGAGAAGGATTGAGGAACCTGAGCTTACAATGTGACGGGACCTGGGCCGCTTAAAAATCGGCCTTCTGTTGTAAGTTTACAAGTTTAAAGGGTGCAGTGACTTTTCGTAATGTGTTCGCTTCAGTTGCCACTTGATGTTCTGTATTTGTTACATTTAAAAATTTTGTCTCATCGTTTCAGCTCTGTTTTGCTTGTTTGTGTAGGTGGTTTACTGAGCAAAAGTGCAGGGAGGAGAAACCAAGTTGCCTTGTAAACCTCATCTCATGGCACACAAGATGAAGCAGAAAACCTGAAACTCACTTGATTGGGATTAAATGTGAAGTTGATAGTAATCCTCTGAAACCTCACCTACACAACATCACACTGGGTTTGCACTGGTAGTCAGGGCACTAACCTACTTTTCATCTCAACAGGTGCATTTCCATATGTTATTCTTTATTGTCAGAGTCTTGCTAGGTGTAAGTCAGATTTACATGTGATTTGTGAGTGACTCCTGCAGTATCCTTGTAGCACAGATTACAAGGCTTGCCTTGTACCAGCCAGCATGCCTGAGTTTTTCTTGCTAGGATCTTGACATCAGCACTTTGTTTTTGTGACCAGTTGGTTTGAAGTTGCTGGAACACTCCTTGCGCGTTTTTCGGCTGAGGTAGAAGGAACAGTGTATTCATGTTGTTAATTATAAGGGACAGTTTGTTCGCTTGTTCTTTGCGTTATTAACAATTTTAGTCCTTCCGGTTTCTGAAATGCACACTTGACTTCATGGTTAGTGATGAAGAGCATAGTGCCAGGTGGAGGCTGGTGGGAGAGAGAGTAGCTACTGAAAGAAAGTTCTGCCTAGAACTGTTTGTTGTCAAGTGAATCAACTGTTAATGCATCTGTGCTTTAAGTGAGAGCCTTGTGAGAGGGGCCTTGTTACAGTATCAGGGCCTTGATGTGCAACTACCTTTCAACTACTCTCTTTTTTTTTTTTTTTTTTTTTTTTTTTTTTTTTCCCGCCTTGTAACTCCGTAGTGAAACAGCTTTCGGGAGTGTTGGTTTGGTTACCATATCATCTCGATCCAGACGTCGCTTTTAAGAAAATGTGGGCTGCTAAAAGACTTTGTAGTGCTCAAATACTGTTACTTCAGTTGAAAGAAGTCAGATTCTGTAGTTACATGTTTCCAAAACCTCAACAGTTCTGGACTGGAATTCTAAACTATTGCACCCTAAGAGCGCCATGTAACAGAGTTAAATTCCAGGTAAGTATTTTTGTGCTGCTCTAGGTATAGGTGATGTGCATCAATACAGTGATAATATAATTTCTTTTAGAATCTACAGAGCTCAGCTTCTGATCCTGCAGCCTTATTTATGAATTGAAGATGCTTTTAGTGTATCAAGGTAAAGGGGCAGACAGCAACAAGTTGCAGGAGAACCAGTGTTTCAGAATGAAATTTTTGTGTCTGATAGTTCTAAGTTAGAGAGAAACATTAGTTTTTTTCAAATTATACTTCAGACAATATTGTGTGATAACTAACAGGCTTATTAGTTAGAGTGACAGCTGTTTAGTGAAGAATAGGACCAGAGTTCTCTGGAAAACTTTTTACTGACGCAACATTGCACAAAAAAGGGAGGGAAAAAAAAAGGCAATTTTTGTTGGATTGATAGGGGAGGATAAATATATGAGAGTATGATTATAAAAAAAAATCTGTGGATATAAACAAAAATAGTGGGAAAAGACTCAAAATTCAGGCTGAACTTGGACACTGACAGTTCCAAATGGCAATGTTTGTCTTTTTCTAGTAATTAAGTTCATCTTTAAAGTATAAATTGCATGTATAAATAGTAGAACATTTTGATTTCAAGTAGTTTATTTGGGCTAAACAAGAGATACTCATCTAGATGGTTTTACAACTATTTTAATTGACTTTATTAATCTGTTTAAGGATAAATAATGTTCAGATTATATTTGCCTGTTTCTCTTTTTAATAGTAATATTTGACTGTATGGTTGTAGGTTTCCAAGGTAAATGATAAACGATCATTAGTAGATACAAGAATGGCTGCTAGTGCAGAGGGAACTAAAATAGCTGCTGGAAAAAGTCCCAGTGGAGCGTGTGATGGAAGCCAGCATTCATTAGAAGGTATTGAACCTTTTGCCACCCTCTTCTTAAGAAGTTGGCCTTCCCTGTCCTCTCTAGACGTCTTGTATTAATGATCAAGATGGTCTAAACTCTTTAATTGGAAAATTTTGTATCATGTGATATGTTTATTTTTTCATTTTAAGCGGATTATACACGATTTTTATAGTTTGCAAAGACTCTTGTACTTTTTCTAAGTGTCTTAATGACTAATTGGATCATGTACTGATTATTTTGTATTATTATTTTAATTTTTTTCATCAAACTCTTACAATGCTTATTCCATGTGAGTGGGAGAATCAATTTCTTGAGTATTCACTGAAGGCTACAAATGGTCTATGATGCTAGTGAACTTTTTTTGTGAAAAAGCAATTGAACACTCCTGTGTGAGTGGTGATTTCTGATTCAGGTAAATTAGTAGTTACAATTGTGACCTTTATTTTAGCAATGCTGCCTAGCTAAACAGTTCTTACCATAAATTTGCTTGTTTTGTCATTCCTAGGTAATAACTAATCCTCAAATGTGCTGTTATGCATCACACATTTCAGCTCCTTTGCTTCAGGGTGCTTGGTCATTCACATTCTATGTATATTTAGGTTTTGTTTGTAAAGGCTTTTTAGTCAGTTGCTTTGGGCATTTTCAGCTTTTGTTTACAAATGGGATGATAGGGAGGTAGTTATGACTGGTTAAGACACTGAGATGGTACACTGTTTATATAATTATATTGCTCAGGAAATAGCAGTATGAGAAATTGTTGTGCTGTTTCTTGTGCATGAGAATTAGGAAGACAGTAACTATCCTGAAAAAGCTATATTATACTGTATCGTAATTTTGCTGTACAAACTTGTCTCCTTACATACGTTCTCTTATTGGTTTGCATTACAAATGGATGAGATACTGCTGAGTAAACAGAAATGTCTCGCCGCCCCCCAGTATGTTTTTAATCACCAGTGAATTCTTTTTTTTTTGCGCAGATGTGAGAATCTTTTAAATAGAACTCTCAGGGTTATGTTTATTCCTTAATGCTCCTGCATTATCTGTAAAGTAATGAGATTGAACAGCCCCAGTGTCCTTCCAGTTTATTCTTGTACTTATCTTTTCTTATGCTTCTGTTTTTTTCTTGTGGAAAACAGAAGCATACCTATCCCCTTAGCCACTTAAAATCTTTATATTTTGACATTTTCCAATCATGTAAGATGACAACGTTTTTGAAAAGCAGTGGCAAAGGCATTTGCTATGTCCTGTTTATGTCATATCTCTACGGTGTGTGCACTGTCCAGCTGAAATGTCCTAGTGCATCTTTTAAGGTTCATTGAAATTTTTCTTAAGACATGCCAATATGATAACTTTGAGTTAATAGATAATACCTTTAATGGTCAGAAGTTACATTAAACCCTATAAGATTATTTGTTCTGAAGTCTTGTGGAACAGGTGTTTCGTACTGTTTCTAAGATTGCAAGATTTCTGCTGTTTGCTCAGGCAGCTGAAGAAATAGTCTATGTCCAGATGTGGCTGTGCTCCTATTTTCAGTACTCTGTAAGAAATTGACAGGGAATAGTCATACTGTAGACTTAATTAAATTTCTCTGTATGTGCTCTTGGGAGTTGTTATAACCCTACTATTCTTTTTGATCAAAAGAGCAGTGATCTACCAGGTCATCAAAGCAAAAGACATTTTTGAATCTTACTGAAATACACCATTCTAACTTGCAAATCAAGTGTTACCGTGACATATTTGCAAGAATCAAAAGAAATGAGAAAATCTGTATTATAAAAGTGAGTATCTTGGTCTCCTATTTCTTGCTTTTCTGATTTTACAGGACATTAATCTAATGAATGCTTTCTTATCTTTTCCTCTTACTCAGAGATTCCTTTGCAAGGTGAAATGACATTGTTTAACTGCATCTGTCAAGCAGATAGTTCCTTATAGAACCATGATTCTGATTCGTCTGTATCATCTTTGTAGGTTAAGTGCTTTGTTACAAATTTGTTGTAAGAGGCCTTCATTTCAGTGTACAGAACCTCCCCACAGGTAGAAGTGTAGTGCTGAATGAAGATGTTAATGTTCTGTTGTTTCTTTTCTATAATGCTGATTATTTGCAGTACTCTACTGATTTTAATATTCTGAACAAGTAAAAGAAGACTTGATTGTTTCACCCAGCAGCAGATACTAACTATCGCTTAGGAGCTAAACTTTATGTGATTTTTAAATTAACAACTGGATAAAGCCCTGAGCAACCCATTTTGATCTGATGGCTGACCCTGCTTTGAGCAGAAGAAGGTTGGGCAAGAGACCTCCTGAATCATTCTATGATTCAATTTTTTTTTTTTCTCTGTATTTACCCACTTGTAGAGATGTTATGTGTATGTGCAAAACCCATTTCTCAGTCATGCAGCTGGATGTAACTACTGGATCTGTCATTTGAATATGAATGTCATCAACCAATTAACTTTTGTACTGAAGTATTTTTCAGTGTCATGTATATGTGACAAATACATAATGTAGACTTAGGAACTGATCCTAATTAATAAAAATGTAGTGCCTTGATAACACAGCTATGCTGTTGTTACTTTGATTTGAAGTTCTCTTAGGGAATCTGTACAAACAGTGCTGTGTTGCATGCAATACAAATCCAGTGGACCAAGTTCTTCTGTTTTTTAAAAAAAAAACAAAACACAAACCAACAAACCCACCCACAAAAAAACCAAAACCAAAAAAAACCCACAAAAAATCCAAACAAAAAACCAGACAAAAAATCAACCACAACAGAAAAAAAAAAAAAAAAAAAACACCCAAAAAAAACCCCCAACCAAAAACGACAAAAAAAACTAAAACACAAAACCCCCTGCTTTTAGGGTCGTATTAATTTCATCTTTTTGGACTTGAAATTAGTCTGCTCTCAACAGAGTATGAGACTAGAAGCATTCTTTAACAGTATTCCTTGACTGAAGTCTTCATGTTCTTTTTGCATGTTTGTCTCTCACTAAATGCTTTTGTCAGTTAAGAAACTGACGTGAATACTCATTCAATAATGTCTCTTTCTTTCTCTTGGGTAGGGGAATGGAGAAGGAGAATGAGAAGTATGGGATCTAAGTATTAAGAAATTAACTCTCATCAAAGAATGAATGTGTGTCTAGACACTCAAAGAGAACAGTGGTTACTCACAATAACTGATAATTAGATAGCACTAAAGCTCATTTAAGAAAATAAAATTTCCTCATGAACCCTTGTAAGAGAAGGCATGGACATCTGACTTTAGTCAGTATATTTTCATAGTTTTTGATCTGAGATTCAAATCATCTCTTCAGTTCACATAGCCTCATTTTCTGCTCTTACTTTAGAGAAAACAAACCAGCTAATTCTTTATACAATGAAGTGTGATTGTCCTCTACATTTGTAGGAATTTTTTTCTTTTTTTTTAAAAAAAATCTTCTAAAATTTCTTGCTGTAACTATGCTTTAGACACTCCGTGGTTTTAATCTTTTTTTTGATTTATGAACATCTAAATATTTTCCAGCAGGGAGAGAAACCTTTTAAAATACTTTGTAGGTGCGCCTTGTAGAAAGTTCAGAAGATGTGTATATACGTGTACATAAGCATACATACGCTTGTTTTTATTTACATAACCTTATTATCTTACACTTGTGTTTCTCAGTTACATTTCATAGGTCTCTTAGACGTAATTCTTGGGATTTCTGAACTCTTACTTTACTTGTTTCTTTTCTGACCAATCAACTGTGTAAATGGGGTTCTTACTTCATCTAATGTTTCACATTAATAGTGTCTTGAGCCTGAAATCTCTTTTGGACAAAAATGGGAGTTAATTCTGCCATGCTTGGTTTTCTTCCTACTTAATGATGCAGTTGCTTAACCAACTTCACCTTTTTGTCAGTGGCCCATGATGCAAATGCGTCTTTGCTCCTGATTTGTAGAAGGCATGGAAACTGCTGCAGCAGTTAGTTAAACTCCTGAGAGTTTAACTAGCCTGAAAGGAAGCACATCATGGCATCATACTTGAAAGTCTGGTTTAGTTTTCTTTTACTCTACTGAAAAAAAAAAAAAAATAAAAAAAAAATCTTCAAAGTAGAGTTGTGTTTGTTGTTTTCCAGTAAAATCTTGACTAAACTTTTTCTTATCTTGTATGCAGTACCATGATCTTTCTTTAAATTAAAAGATCCTTTCTTTTTAAAAATAGTAACATGATTTATCATTTGCTTCATTGCACACGCTTTTCTCTCATATTGTCACAGGAAGGGCCAACCTGAAATCCTTTCTATCAGTACAAATGTGTTAGATAGAAGTTACAGGTATGCCTACTTACAAGTGGATATCCAAGCATTTCCAGGGTAAAGGGGGCAAAGCACAGTTGATAAACTACCTTACAATGGCATTGTATTTTAGCAGAAGGACTGATGCACCAAATAGCATGCCCTGGCACTATGAGATGCATGCTCTCTCTCTTTTTTAAATTTTTTTTTCTTTTTTCCTTTTCTTTAGAAAATAGTAAACCTGGTTAGACTTCGTGATCTGATTATAATCGTGTTACGGGTAAAGCAGTTGAATTTAGCATATCTTCTTATCTAGTGGTTTTGAAAGCTGTTTCTTATCCTCATCTTTCTTGTTCTTCCCATTTCCAAGCCGAAAGGCAACTTAAACCAAAACCTGTTGCTATACATGTTTGCCTCTCTTCATCAGAACTGATACCACAGTGTCTGTAGATTATTTCCAAAAGAAACATCTCATCAGCTTCATTACGAAGCAGAAAAATCAAGTATACTGAGTGTACTGATTCTTTTTTTTAAGTCCCATTCATACTGAGACATACCTAAGTGTGCTAGGATTTTATTTTTAATTCATGACTAAGATAATCTGTACAATATCTTGTATATCTGTACAATATAATCTGTGGAATATCTTACTCTCATAATTGTAGTTATTTGCAGAAACAGAAGAGCTAATAAAATGTACAGCCTTATATTTTATTTTTTTTAAACTATCCCTAATGATCTGAACTTATGGTTCCTGTTTGTGTGTTTTGTTAGTTTTGAATTCTCTCCTTGACACCTACAATGTGTGTTTTTTCATACATTTAGTGCTATTTTACTTTGATTTTTTTTATACTTTCTTATTTTAATAGTAGCAACAATATGTTCTATGTTTTTTCTTTTCTACATGAGAAACTACTTTAAATAAGAATTTGTCTGTTAATGATTACTAATAATAATAGTAAGCAAATGAGTTCCTAAGGTGAAGGAAAAGAATTGCTTTCTTAGAGAATTATATGGGGTTCAAGGCTGTGTGTGCATAAGGGGAGTATGATGACACAGTAGCCAGCAGTTTTATAATTACTTTCATTTCTTCTGTAGGTGGCTAACAGTGCTTACTCTCCAACAGCATTCTTTTTTCGCTTCTGAGTATCTACTTTTATTTTGTATTTCTTTGAGAAATTAGATGAAAATGTGTAGTTACATTGTATATAGACACATATATATATATACTTATTTCTTGGTTGAAAAAGGGATTTGCTCTAAGGAGTATTTATTTTAGAGTTTTTTTCAGTTTTGGAGATACTAACTGCTACTCATTTGATGTATTTGGTAATAGTTTTTACTATTACCAAGAAATTTTTACTGTTCTTAATATGCTAAATATACATAACACAAAGCAATTTATTTATGTGATATGTGCCAAAAGAGTAGATGTATATTGTAGGGTAAAATTAACTGATCCTTTTTCTAACTGTGAAACTTTATTTCCACAGAAAATATGAAGCACATCAATCTGTCATTTGCAGCTTGTGGTTTTCTGGGTATTTACCACTTGGGGGCAGCAGCTGCTTTTTACAGGCATGGTAAGAAGTTACTGAAAGTTGTGAAAGCTTTTGCGGGAGCTTCTGCGGGATCACTGGCTGCCACTGTCTTGTTAGCAGTACCAGAAAATATAGAGGTAAATTGATAAACTCGTAGGTATAGGACATGATCGTTTTCAAAGGATATTTTTGATTTAATCATCTACCGTTAAGTTTTTTTAAATATATTGGTTCTTGGTTTTCTTCTTGCTTCTTCTAAAGGAACTGGACTTGTGTATATGTTTTCATTAACAAAATCTGTGACTCATGGGCAAAAATGTTTATGAAGCAAGTATTTATGAAAAAATCTGCCAAATGAACTTTATATTTTAAGCTATGTAAGTGCAAATTTCATGTGTGTGAACAAAGCTTACCTCTAGCCGAGAAAACAATTATTAACTTTGTAATGTACGGTGATTAAGTGCATATACGTTTTGGTGTATTAAAATATATCTGGCTGCATACAGCTTAACAAATGCATAGCACCATCCTTTCATGCTTTTGTGAAAGGAGATGAAAATGGTGGATGGAGTGCATCTCCTTCAGACTGAGCACAGTTGAGGACTTAGCAACAGTAGCCCCACTGTGTGCCGGTGAGCATTAACCCTCACAGCGTTCTGTTCTGACATGCTGCATACATGTGTGTTTGGGTTTTTTTTCTCCAGAGATGCCACTCTTCGCTGTCTCTGCACGACACCATATTCATGGTGAGAGAAGTTATATTCAGTGACTACTCTTATTACAGGTTCTGTGGGAGAGCATTAGCTTTTCTTTGGGTTTTGTTCGTTTGTTTTTCCTCACAGGTTAAGGCTGCTCTGCCCTTCTGAAGTGCCTGTATATACTTTGCCTTAATATATGTAGAGAACTAGGCCTTACCAAAATGTTAGTATTTCTTTAATATTTTGAATTATAGTAAACAACATTATTGCAGGGGAAAAAAGGCTGTTAGATTTTTGTTCTAAGTACATTTAGGTTTCAGTCCAGTGAGCACTAGGTAACTTTCTCCAGGCCTTGCTTATTGCAACTTTCACTGGCTTTGATTCAAATAATAGTCCCAGCCAATACTACACTTTGCCACCAATCTTTCTGTTTGTTTGTTGTTTGCTTTTGCTGGGGTATCAACTTAGCTTGCAGACTTAGCTACACTTCTGTTGCTTTCAGCAGTAAGTTCTTCTCTGGCTTCTTCCCAGACAACCCCTTCACTCAGGTGCATTCTTTATATGATTTGATATTGGTCAAGTTCCACTGTGTTGTGAAGAGAACCTTACTTGTATTCTGTTCAGATGTTACTCCTTTTCTGTAGCCTCTGACTAGTACTTCAGTTCCAGGTTTGCCTGGTACAATACATACCTCTGACTTTAATTTCCTCTGTGGTGAGCACAGCAGCTAGCCTTTTCTTAGCCCAAGGAAATTTTTCTGCTTACTGTACGCTTTGGGTATGAGCATTTGTTCCCAACCTGGTCCAACTTACAAAGATCTAAGTAAAAATATTAGGACAGTTTTTATTTTTTGTTTGTGGAAACTAAATCTATATTACATTGAGTCTGATGAATTTTTCCTTGAAAATATGTCATTTTAATACAAACTGAAGAACATTTTGTGACCTTTTTAGTTATTCTGTTACATTCTTTAAATGTTTCCATTTCCATTGAGAGCTATTTTTTGTGGGGGAATAATTCTTCCTAATTCTCATCGAATTTAAGTAAAGGCAGTGTTGTGTACTGAATAGAATTAACTTTTCATATCAGGATAATTATATTATTACCTTTATTGCATTTCTAATTTGAAATATTTTATATCCACAAATATAACTCTTAAGCAGTTAATTTTTTTCTTTGTCCTTTTTTTTTTTTTTTTTTTTTCCCTTTTCCCCGAGATAGCTATGTTAGACAAGCTATACTTAGGACTTTCTCCATCTCCTAGTCTCAAAACTGTAACACAACCTTTCCTTATCTTGGAGAGGATGTAACACTGAGGATTTCTTGTTTTAACTGTTGCTGTTCTCATCCAACAGTTTGCAAATGTTTTTCTGTTGTATCTTGGATTCTTGTCACTGTTGAAAAGGCATGGGAGTTGAAAATTCTAGGGAGGCTTATAGAGTCATAGATAGGTACATATTTATTTCAAAAGTACCTTGATCATGTTTGATATCAAGTTTGCTTACTTCAGTTCACGTAGTTATAATTTCTAAACGTGTCCTCAGTCACTATCTAAAATTTAGATGTATTGTTTAAAGCTTCTAGCACTAAAATTATTAATGATTCATAGCTATAAGAAGTTGTCCCTTTTGACAGCAAGAACTGAGAGTCTATGGTTTATTTTTAGTACTTGTAATATGGAACGTAGTTTTCTGTCATTCAGCTAGGTTTGGATTCATCCAGCTCCCTGTTACTCTTAGCTCCCCATCACTTTATTAAAGCACAGCAAGAATTGAGAGTCTAAGTATGGTTTATTTTTAGTACTTGTAATATGGAACGTAGTTTTCTGTCATTCACCTAGGTTTGGATTCATCCAGCTCCCTGTTACTCTTAGCTCCCCATCACTTTATTAAAGCATCTTAGATATAAAGATAGTAGTTCTGACGTGCTTTTATGTAGGGTTTTATGGGTTTCTTCTCTAAATAGAGAGAGAGGTGTCCGAATGTACCTCTTTCCAGATGATTGACTACAGAAGAGACCTAACAGCCTAATACAGAATAAATTCAAGACTTGGTGCATATAACTAGTTTTATATATTTGAATTGACTTGGGACCGGCAGATACCTCATAGGGTAAATGTGCAAGTCTAACCTATGTGAAATGAATTAGCACAAATCTTTACGGTGATGGTTGCTTTAAGAGGTATGGACTCTAAGGCTGTATAGAGAAAGTGATGCAAGAACTGCCGTTCTGTTTTTCACTTAGGTGAGTGCTCTGTCATGCAAGTAACGTGAGGAAGTTGAACTGCTTCAGTCAGCTTGCTCCTGATCTCGTACTAATCCTCACCCCAAGTCTTCCCTGGTTTTCCTTTCATTAAATCCTGTACCTTCCTCCTCAGTAGGACACATTCACTTTTTTCTTTTTTTCTTTCCCCAGTCATATCAGTCATTTATTTTGTTACTAGCAACATATTTGATCTTCATGCAGGAAGCTAATAAGCCAGAAACCCCAAACTATCTGTAGATGGATCTTTTACTCTGTAAACATGTGGCTATATAGGTGAATATGGGGATAATATGTTTATTGAATACCAATTTCAGAAGTTTGCATAAGATTGGATTTAGTTTCTTCCCCAGTCCCTAAAATCATTAGAGAAGTCTGCATGAAAGGCTGAAAAAAAAAAAAAGGAATATAAATACTGAATAGTGAGTGTGCTTTAACATTTAGAGTTATAAATTATAATTTTTTTTTTTTTTTTTTTTTTTAGTGAAAGATTCTGAAACCAGAAAGTACTACCAAATTACTTACTCTCCTTTTGGAGTTCTTGTGGCTCACACGTTAAGCTATTTTTCTGCAGTCATTAATGCTAGGCATTTGCGCTTGTGTAAAAGAAGTTCTCTGCTCAGTGGAATCTATTGCCTGGTTTTCTGCAGTGTCTTTTCTTCCAATGTCATCCATCATAGTATTCCATTATTAAATACTTCCATAACATTGTATTAATTAAATATTTGTATTTGTTAGTAGCATGATTTTTGCATTAGTGAGAAGAAATTGTAATAATTGTATTTTTTTTTAATGCTTATAGGCATCTTAAGGTACTTGTGTCTGGTTTTAGTACTGAAGTAATCTTTAAAATAAAAGGTGACTTTACACTTGAAATATAAACGATCATTCTTGTAATAGCATGGTTCAGAGAACTGATTATTTAGGAGTGGTAACACATGGAAAGATAGCCTTTAACTTTCCTTAGTTGTTAAAGTGGTATTCTTGTGAGGGTTTATAACTATTATTAATTTTTTTTTTTTTAATTAGAGATCTTGTTTTGTTACAAATTAATTCTTATAAAAGGATCAACATTTTGTTATGCATATCTTGTTACAAACCAAGGACATATAGGAAAATATTTCAGTTTGATCTTATAGCTCCCTCTTGATTAAAGCTTTAGCCACTAGTATGTTTTAGGTACCACAGTTGAGCATACTTCCCATAACTAAAACATCCTTAATGGTGAATATTTTTAATTTCCAGAAATGTAAGCAGTTTGCCTATGGATTTGCAGAGGAAGTTAGAAAATTGGACTTCGGTGCAGTAACGCCTGGTTATGATTTTATGAAAACACTTAGGTACCTGTCTTAATGCATCTATAAGATCATTTTTATGTGACGTTCTCTAAATGAAAATGGAGAGTGTGCATATTCTTTCTATACTGTGGAGTGTTCAGCACTCTTTCTTTCACCTCTAACGTATTTGCAACATTTTTTAATAATGATAGTGAGTAATGTTTAGCATTTTCTTTACTCCAGGGAAGGCATAGAGTCTATTCTTCCTTCTAATGCTCATGAGATAGCTGAGAACCGGCTCTATGTGTCAGTCACTAACACCAAAAATGGGGAAAATCACTTGGTTTCAAATTTTGCCTCCCGGGAGGACCTCATTAAGGTAATGAAGTTGAATATTGCTGCTTTAAATAAAAATGCTTGAGTTTCTTCAAGGCTTAGGAGTATGTTATTAGCTGTACAATAAATCACTGTTTTACTCAAGTAATCACTTATACTATCAGTGGTGCTACAACCTAACATAAGCAATAGAAGCAGAATTTGATCCTACAGTTTCACAAATTTTTGCTGAAATTTTATTTTGTGTGTGTTTCCTTCGTCTGTTTTTAAAGTACTAACTTGTAGACAAAGTGTGTTTAAAAACTAACAGGGTAACTAATAGTTACTGTAGATGAGAATAAAGTAGAGAATCTCCAAATTTTGTAACAATTCGCTAAGTTTTTTTGCTTCTCTTACTTCACTGGTACCATTTATATTGTGTTTCATCACAAAAGAAAGTAAGGAAAAGGAAGTTTAAAAGAAAAATAAAATCCAGTGCTTTCTACAGGTCCTTCTGGAGAATAGATATAATGTAATATTAAGTACCATATTTAAACTGTGTTTTAACTGTCGCTGGAAAGCGTATCTTTTAACTAGCCATCTCTTCTTTTGAATGCCACTTTAAATTTGGATCAGGATTGTATACATCAGCCGATATGAAATGGTAGGAGAAATTCAGATGCATGTAAAGCAAATGTTATTCCTAGTAATTAATTATATCTTAGTGAAGGACATCATAAGATATGGCAGAATAAAGGAGGAAACAGAATAAGGAGGAATTCCTTCTTTCCAAATTGGATGTTTAGAGTAAGTAAGATGTTCTTTGTAATCAACACTTAAAGAAAAAAAAAATCGCACTCATTACAAAATCTCAAAGTATGCATTGGAAGTTGGCTTTAAAATACGACTTGTTTAAATCTTGACCCTGTTATATTCTACATGGTCAATCAGTTCTCAAAAATTGTAGGACTTGATCATGCAAAGATAATTATGCAAAAAGTTTATCTCAAATTATGTACTGTTATTTCTAGCTACAGTAGCCAGCAGGGACATCGCACTCATTACAAAATCTCAAAGTATGCATTGGAAGTTGGCTTTAAAATACGACTTGTTTAAATCTTGACCCTGTTATATTCTACATGGTCAATCAGTTCTCAAAAATTGTAGGACTTGATCATGCAAAGATAATTATGCAAAAAGTTTATCTCAAATTATGTACTGTTATTTCTAGCTACAGTAGCCAGCAGGGACAAGCTTGGAGATTGTTATTCTGTAGGTTTATGTTTTTTTGCAGTGAAATCTTCTAACCTGAAGACAATTAGAAGCATCAAGACAACCTTGGAAATGCACACATTTTTAGTTTTTCAGTAGTTCTTTCATTGACTTAACCATTTCCGTTCTGTTCTTTTGTTCCATATGCTAGCGGTAGAATAAATTGGAATAATAAAATTCCAAATTGGAATTGGAGTAATAAAATTCCAAATAATTGCTCATTGGAATACATTGCTATTGTCTGTTCTTTCAGTGCATCTCATAATACATGTTTTTGTGCATGCCTTCAGCTATGCATGTATCATTTATACAGCAGTCTGAATGTTGGTAGCTGCCCTGGTACCATGGGGGATAGAGTGTGTTAGGTCATATAATTGTGTTACACCTAGACATGATCTACTGTATCTGAGGCATGGATAAAGATACTGCTGGGCGAACAGTGTTTCATAACAGCAAAACTTCTGTACCCTTTGCCAGAAATCTTTCAGCTTCCATATGCAATTAATTTCAATGCTTAACAAGCATTATCATTCCAAAGTTTTTCATGATGGCTAAACTGAATATATGCTGCTACAATTTTAAGTCTTTATTTTCTTATTCCCAGTGGACATGGAAAGGCCACTAATAATCTCCCACATTTGAAGTAGTCTTTACATATGTGAAGACAGTTGTTACATACCAGCATTCCTAGTCTTGCAGTTTTTAAACTGGAGGGAAAAGGGGAATGATTTATATGTTTGTGAGGTAGCAGGGCACAGAACACTGTTGTGTTTAGTTTGAAAAGGTGGAGCAGTGAATAGGAGTCCACTTATCCACACATCTAGCCCTTCTTTTGAAATACTGTATACTGATTGCATATGTATATTTACGGCTTGATACACAGGTATAGAGATAGAGACACACTCTCATAGATATTGCTATGAGTGGATAGAAAGGTATGTGTGTGTGCACATCGGACATGATAGAAGAGGTGTCTTGGTCTAAAAAAAAAAAAAGAAAACTGAGAGTTGCTGTGGACAGTAATGTAGGCTTACAATAGGGAAGATAGTAATTTTTTAATATCTGAATGTATTAAATGCAAAGTATCGATGCTGATGAAGATATACATATGTGAGTTTTCAGGCTGTTTGTAGTATTTTGGAAATTTTGAATTCTTAGAAAAGTAAATATATAAATATGCCAGCAGAATGGTTGTGTCAGCTTCTTCTTTGACAATATTGCCTTTTTTTCAGCATATGCATATTTAGTTTCTGCAAAATGATGGATTTGTTTCACATTGTGTAAAGACCAAGTTCAACTGTCACTGTCAAGTCATAAAAAAACAAACCCTTCTGAATAGTTCTAATGACATTTCAACATACCACAAGATATTTTGAGATTACAATGGTCTTATATAAAACTAATATATTGACTGATTACTGCTATGTTATTTAATATAGATAAATACATATGAAAATATGTATTGGTGCAGAATTACTTTGTTGCCTTTCTTTCAATTTTATTCTCTATTCTTTCTGCTTTCTTTTTTCTAGGTCCTACTAGCGAGTAGTTTTATACCAGTATATGCAGGAATTAAGCCAGTGGAATATAAAGGAGAGGTAATTTTTCATTGTTTAACCACCGGGGGTTTTTTGTGTTAAGACCATTCTTCGTTTATGATGTAATTATTTGATCTTAAGGGAAAGCAACTGCAGTACTATATTTTATAGGGTAATTATTGTTTCTATTGATACTATAGATTAACACTGTGAAAAATAACATGAGGTTCTTCATGTGTTGTTTCAAAAATTGTGGGTGCTGAGACTGAAATGATCACTGTAGCGTGACTCTGTTTCCTAAAGATAACATCTAACACTTAACCATGAGAAGAAGCTTCTATTAGTGAAGATGCTTCTGACGACAAACTATGTTACCAACTCTAAAATGTTTTCTGCAATTTAAAGGGCCACCATTCTGCTTTTATGTAATGGAAGGAATGATACGGGAGGTCTTGGCAGACTGGATGCTGCCGGAGTATGTATATGTGTTTACATATGTGTTGTTCTCATGTTCTGTACGGAATTACATGCTTACCAAGTACCTCAAAATCTCTTAACTCTGGACAAGCATTAAAGCATAAAAAAATAAACTTTTTTTTCCCCTATAGCACACAGCTATGAAGTTTTCAGAGGTGTACACTACTATAAGAAGACCTTTTCACAGTTGCCTGTACTTTGTTTTGCTTCAGGAACTTTTTAGTCTTTCTTACATAAATACATTAACATTTCAAGAATAATTTTGACTGTTTAGCCTGAATTACTGGAAGCATGCAAATAGCCATTTCTTTCTTTCTGAGAAATACTACATGATACTTTATTTCCTCATACGCATCCAAATGATGCTTTAGAACATCTGTAGTCCTCACAGCCACCCTGCCAAAAAAAACCCCACAAAACCATGTGCTTTTGTCTCTAGCAAGAGGGATTTGGAGTTCGTTATGTCAGAAAACTTGTCAGCCTGAGAATTCTTTATACAGCAATACATATCAGCTAAAATGTTCAAAGGGTTTAAATCAGTATTGCCTGACTGCTTAAGTTAAATGGAGACTGCTTGCAGCTTCCCAGGATCTGGAAATTTTTTTGATTAGAGTCTTTATGTGTTGCTTGTGTGGTTCAAAGGGCATACATGGATGTTTTAGGTTCGTTCTGCGATCACTTAAAGGGAAGGAAGGGTAGTTAAATTTCTTCTGTTGTTCTTTCAATTAAGAAATTGAAAAGTTGGCTCAGAATTTTGTCCAAAACTTATTTAAAACCCGTTTTATAGAATGAACACTGCTATTATGATTTGCATAGGTATTGTAGTATTTACTGAAACACCTGCAGCCTCTTCCTAGTGGACAGTTCTCATTCCTGCCTAACTTTATTTTTTGCATTCAAAAGTGAAATCAGTGAATGTTTCACAGAAACTGGTTCTCGTGTTACTTGAAAGCTTGTTGTCATTCCCAAAGCTTCTTACTACTCTTCTTAAGTGAGATTCAGAAAAGGCAGTTACTGAGAATGAGGTTGCTTTCAGTTATTGTTATTTGTTGGAATGATTAGTTCTGCATGTCTGCATTGACTTTTTACAAACAGTGCATTTGTGGTTTGGGGATTTTTTGTTTGTTTGTTTCTTTGGGTTTTTTTCTTGGTTTTTGTTTGTTTATGTTTGTGGTTTTGGTTGTTTGGGGTTTTATTGTTCTTTGTTGTTGGGAGTTGGGGTTTTTTTTGTGGATTTGGTTGTGGGTTTCTTTGAGAAAACTATTGCCTGTAAGTGCATGTGATTTCCATTCCAAAACAACTTAGAGCAGAGTGAGAGGAAAAACCTTAGGATCTCTCTTGCAGTGGTATTTCCTTGGTTTGGAATAGTGGGTAATGAGGATATGTGGGTGGGTAATAGGGGCTCTAAAGCATGCAGTGTAAAGCCAGATATATGGCCTGTAAACTCATGATCCAGGCATGGTAAGCACTGAAGTCAGTGAGATGAATTGGACATTGATTTGACTCTGTGAGGCCACCTGTCATATTAGCATCATATTCAGACTTTCCTGAAAGCTTTACTGTAACAGACCAATGTTCTGTCTGTCTGCATTTATACTAGTTTCAGGGAGTAAATTCCTTGGGCCGTATGGTCTATGGCAGCGTGGAATCAAGCTTCCTCCATCCTAACTGCTCGAGTCTACTGCCTTATCTGTGCTTCAGAACAGTTGATCTGGATCTTCTCTGGGCTACATATGTCACCTGCATACATATCACCAGGTCATCTGGGAGTGTTTTTAAAATGTATTTTAGTATGTTATCTGAGGTGCATGATATGTAAAGGAGTAAGGTGCACTTTTGCTGGAATAGTATCAGAAAATAAGCAAACATGTTACTAACCCATCCATACTACCTATAGAGAGCAAACCCTATGGTCAACTGTTTGCAGCATTGCACTTCAGTTTTCTTTTTAGGAAGAATACTTTTTGGGAAGCATTTGGCTCACACTGGGATTAGCTAGCATACCTGTAGTATGCATGCTTGGAGGCTAGGCTTTTGGGAGGAATAAGCTAAACTGCATGGTAGCGTAGACGTAACATCGATGTGTTCATAGTATGTTTTCTTCTGGTTTGATGAGCCTAAAAATAATCTGAAGGAAAAGGAAGTGTAAGATAACATCTGAGAATTTATAGCCTGTTAAAGGCCTTAACCAGATTGGGCTAGTTTATTACCTGGGTTGGGGATTTAAGGTGCCCTTTGACTAGGCTTCCAGTAACATCAGGGCAAACTTACTCCATGTGAAATTATCTATCTTTGAGTTGGTTTGGTGTCCTCTGAATTTCTGGCAAGGTTAATCTATAAGCCAGATAAAGATCTGCAGATGATTGAGTTGGCTCTATCTGATGATGAGGCTGTAGTTTGTGTCACTGTAACTCTTACAGAACAACTTTGTAAAAAACATCTACTGGTAAATGGGTAGATTCTGTTAGGTCCAGCCCACATCCTCAATTTTATTGTCTGGTTTGGTTTTCATTGTATGTTATTTCAGAACTTCCTCTGTCTTTGCACTGTACTTACAAAAGAGAAAGTAATTCAGAAGTTACTAGGAATTTGCTTCATCAGCTAAGAAGCATTTTTCAAAAAGTGGTTAATGGAGTGAAAAGAAGCTGGGACATTACATCTCTTTATTTGCAGCATATAAATGTTTTATTTTAACTATGTAACGTGAGGGACTGTGGAGCTAAAAAATTTTTGACTGAGAAGCAGTGTCTCCTAAATACTTGAATGAAAATAAAATGACAGAGGGCACATGGGCCAGGAATAACAGAATCTACAAAAGATAGTGCTTAATAAAAAGTGTTGCCCTTGCCTTGATAAATCTTTTTTATTGAAGTTACATAACAGGAGAGAGGAAAAACCTAAATAATCAGAATTTTTAAAAGTGGGTGAACTTAAGTTGTAAAAGTACTAAGCTAGACTCGTGAAAGACAATGTCATCTGTTATGGTGTCTTTGACGTGGCTTAGACAGGGACTCCACTGTTCTTTTCACTGTGGGAATCGCAACAAAAAACTACTTAGTACTCCAAGGAACATTGCATATAAATCAATAATAAATGACTATTTATAGACACACACACACAAAAGCCTTGATGTTAGAAACGTTAAGGTATGTTGCAGCTTCACTCACAGTTATCACAGCAATGGTATAATGGGAGTTTGAGTAATCTGAAGGATAGCTTTAAACAGTTTTGGCATTTTTTTTTTTTGCCTCCTTTTCTAAAGGCAAAACAACCTCAGTCCTAAGCATTGAGAAATATGATTTATGTGGAAAGTGAAGGAATTCAATGGTGGATTGTGGGTACTGACATGGGTTAATGTCAAGAGTCAAGCTCTGAAGTGTGTTATGAAATAATAGGGTGGGAAGGGCTGTAGAAACTATTGAATGTGAATATCTGTAGCTTATGTTTTAAGCTCAGGAGCATAAAATTCATCTGAGAGGGTGAAGTGGGGGTGGCAAAGCACCCCCAGCCCACACACACTCACCCTACACACACACCATTTCCTCCCAAATGGTGCTAGCTGTATATCCATGTGTGAAATCCATGTATCACCAGATACAGGAGTTGACAGCAGAAGGAGAGGCAAGTGACAACAAAGTCTTTGGTAGCACAAACTCAAATGTGGCACTGGAGAAATCTATACCTACAGAATTAAAAGCAGATTTGCTTTAAGTGAGAGTAAAGGATGCAGCTGAGAGGGATCTATACCAAGTGACAGACCTCAGAGAATCTCAGCGTCTTCTGAAGGACAAACACTGTAACCTGAGATAATGCTTCCTGTATAGCAGTCACTACACTGAAAGTTAGTGTCTGGCCAACAGTTTGAAGACAAGTTTAATTTAGATGTCATAAACAACTTCCCAACAGTATACTTTTTGTGGGAGATATTATTTTATTTTTTTTTTTAACTTTGTGACTAAATTCCTGGGTGTTTTCAGGAATTTTGTGGGAAAACTTGCCTTATTTTGCCATTTCATGATGGTCAGCTACAGCAGAAAAGCAGTCTTCTGCCTGGTTGGTGCTGAAGAGTACTAGTACAATTTGCCATTTGTTTTTGGTGTTCTGTGTTAATGAAACTTGAAGATGATAACCTGGAATATTCAGTTTACCTTTGGGGAGGTCAGACCCTTAAGAAATACTGAGGTCAATCTTCTAATATTATTCTTACAGCATTTCAACTTGCCTAGCTTTAGGTGTCTGATGTAGTCTACATCTTATGTAGTTAATGTATGTTTCCTTTAGTGGAGAAGAAAGCACTTTTCAGCACAATTCAAATCAGACGTAAATACCTACTTTAGGATAAAGTGAATTGTGCTAGAAGTGTTTTCTCTCCCTTGACAATAAAGGAAGCGTAGGTATGTAGAGTTCAGTGAGATGCATTTGATGACCAGACCTCATGTATGATGTCAGTGAATGCATCTAGTCAGTAGACTGATGTTGAGTTTCAGGTTATGCATATAAGCACAGAAAGAAACATGAATGTATTAAATATATTGGTAAGAGATATCCCAGCTGTCCCTGCTTATGCTGGAATGGAATTTGGGTGTGGTCCCTGTAAAGATCAGGCTTGTGCCCCTAGACTGCCTTTACAATCAATAAATATTTGGGGCTCTGCAAGAAATTAATTGGTTGCTTTTGTTTTTTCTTCCTCATTTCCTGTGCTCAACTACTGTACCAGACTTGAGGTCTGCTCCTTCTTATGTGCCATAGTTTTTCAGCTCCTTCCTGCCTTTACCCTCCGTATTCCAGCTGTTGCTGTCTTGTGTATGTAAGGAGACAAGAGGCTCTGGAAGAAGAAAAGAGGAGTCATGTTTGGTTTAGCTTGTGTAGTCATTTTACCTGCGCATACAGATTGTCTAGCTCCTAGTTTGAATCACGGTAATGTTTTAGAGGAGTATATGTTATCTGATATGGTTCACGTGTAATATTAATAGTGTTACCTTTTCATGAATGTGTTGAGAAAAATTCTGTATGGGGCACTTTGTTATTAGATTAACTAACAAGCCTTTTCAGTAGCTTGATAAGTATATTACATATTTACACATTATGTCAAATGTTCGTTGATTAAACAAGCTGTGCGCACATTGTCAATTCCTTGATTTTTATGCCTCATACTCAAGTTTATTCATGGTATTCTGAGAAGGAAACTTGTAAGTTTTCTTGAGGGTGACGTGGAGGAGACAGGGACAGGAAGCATGAAGTACCTGGTTATGATCATAGTGTACTAAGGTTACTTTGAAAATATTTCTGTTTTCCTGTAGAAGTGGGTTGATGGTGGCCTTACCAATGGCCTTCCAATCTTGCCTGTTGGAAGAACTGTGACGATTTCTCCTTTCAGCGGTCGGTTAGATATCTGTCCACGAGATAAAGGACATGTGGATCTTTATGTTAAATTTGCAAAACAAGATATAATGGTGAGTTGCTTGTTTATTAAATAACTTCAGAAGAAGAAAAGGTAGTTGTGCAGTTAAGGTTGTGCTTGTTTTTAAATGTCTATTTTGTGCTTACGTATCAAGTTAAGTAATGTTTTTGGCATTTTCTGTTTCGCAGATGGAGGGTAAACTTTTTCTTAAACGCAAAGCAAGGAAACTGTAGAGTAAAGAAGAAAGGTTGAACAGCATTGATCTAGTACAAAATTGAGGAAATTATCACAGGCTATTAAATGTAAATAATCTAGGCTTGCTTTAAGTATCAGCTGTCTTCAACTGGGCAGATTGTTTATAGAGGAAAAAAAAAAGTTAAGATTTCTGTAGAATACTTTAGGAGAGGGAAACTCCAGAACATCCCTTCATACTTACATTCAGTTAGAGCAACTGATTTCAGTAACATACAAGTTTAAGCCATACGTTTGAAATGGCTTGTCATCTCATTGTTCGACAGGTCATGAATTTTTGTGACCACAATGCTTTTCCAGAAGTTATTTTGTTAGATGTTACAGAAACATTTCTGTATATTGAAATATAGGCTAAAACTGATTTTTATGGCCTCCTTTTCATCATTGACATTTCTGGCTTTGCAGGCTTTGTCTCACAAACTTTAGCCACAGTATTGCTTCCTTTGAGGTGATGAAAGAAAATATTGAATAGCGGTAGAACTAGCTGTCAACAAAACTCCATTAGAAATAAAAAATAATCATTAGCAATAATTGGTACTTTTTTTGTTAGTTTCTTTTAGAAAATTCTTAATATGTTTTCTGTTTTGAGTAGTGTTATGTAATGTCGTCCTAAATTGGACCAATTTCTGAATCTTTATAAAGTTTCACAGAGAGATTTTAAGCATGGTAGTACTTGGTAAATGATCATAAAGTATGAGATTATTGATTTCATATATATTGAAAGTATATGCAATCACTTGCTGTATATTTCTTGGTTGTGATTTGTATCTAGTGCATATAGAGGAGGAATAATGAGCTGATTATTAGATTAGAGATAGAAAATTAATTGCAGAGTTACATTACTTCTAGGGTTGTGCAAAAGCAGACTTGTGCAGAATCTCCAGCAACGTTTTAAACTACTCCATTTGCAGCACCTTTAGCTTTTAGGGCTGTAAACATGTGCAGTAAGAATTTTTTTTTAGCAATGTTGTAATCTGCGTAAAATGAAGAGTTGTATGTCTTCATTTATCTGTATTGGAATGTGAACAGTTTTCTGTCTCTTTGAACGTCCTTCATCTACTAGTGTCAGAATTTGAATAATTGCTTAGTTCAAATAATGAAGATGATTTTGATATTGTTTTGCAAAACTGTGTATAATAAAGTATGTGGCTGAAGTGTTAAATTAATCACATAAATTAAGTGTTCAGAACATTATTAAATTCTTTACAACTAAATTAAAAATATAATGTCTATGTTCAACAACAAAGTTCTGAAATCATATACCATCCAAGTGACTGCTTGAGATGCTGAGTAGTTCTTTACTTGTTGGTAATACAAAGTACATTTATACTCGTATGCTAAACATTGCCTGGGAATGTTCTCAAGAATATGGTTGTTTGCACTAGCAAGCTGTCAAAATATTTCCTTGCACAAGTTTAGCATGTGCCAGCTACCACTCTGCCAGACGGGGTTCTGGGAATGTTTCCAAAGTTAAAATGTTTCAGAAACTTTGGGCAGTTTAACAGGCACAGTCTGTCTTGGAGGCTGTGAGTTCAATAGTGCATATGCAGACCACTTGTGCCGGTTTGTCTTGGCGCTCAGCAGTGTACCTGGACGTGACTAATTCACTAGTGTAGACATAGCCATGCCGGTCTTTCATTTTTACATATGCTACATAAACCAGGTGACAGAACAGATAGCAACATGTTCAAGTCTAGATAACTTGCTTTAAGAAACTAATTTATAACTTCTCGCTCTGTTGCAGCTGTCTCTGGCCAACCTTATAAGACTTAATCAAGCTTTGTTCCCACCAAAGCAGGAGAAAATGGAATCGTTGTACCAAAATGGATTTGATGATGCTGTACATTTTTTACTGAAAGAAAATTGGTTTGAATAGGTGGTACATAGAAAATGAACAAAACCTGATGGCTGTCAAAACACAGCTACAGGCATCCTACAGAATCTCAGGGGTTGTTGTCCCAGTTCCTGTTTCATGAAGATAAAAATCCCAATGGAATTTCATCTACTTCTGCCGAGAAAGTATCAGTTGCACTCCAAAGACCTGTATAAACATGTCAGAGTGGGAATCGTACTTGCCTGGTAGTTGTCTTGTTTAGAGGACGTTCAAGCTTGGGTCTGTTTTGCTTGAGTGTGGGATTTATAAAAAGCTCATGTTGTCATAATTAAGGAAGTTTGGAGAAGGCTTTTTCAGTGTCATTTGAGAGACAAATTGACTTTGTACCATGAAAAATTACAATCTGTATTGTTCACTTAACATAATAGTTGTGTGTGCTAGTTGGATGCTTGCAATATTGCTGATCTAATATCTGTCTTGAAGTGTTCTAAAGGACTTGAGCACTTCGGCACTAGCCACAGGAAATAAAACATTTGCATTCCTTTACTCTCATATGTGAATTTTTTAACATTAAAAGTTCTTGCCTTTTTCAGTGCATGTGGTCTTTTAAAATTTGAAATACTAGTTGAAATTTGAAACAGAAGTGTGATGTTTGTAAAAATATCTTGTAAAGAAAGGTGTAAGAAATTGTTATATTTATTATGTTTTCTTCCTCTGCTAAAATTGAATAAATGTATTTTCTTGAAACTTTTTGTCAAGAGCTCATTTATAAATTTCTTGGAATGCTATAGCAACCCAATTATCTGTTTTAAAAAAAAAATTTGTTGGAGAGAAGCTGAAGTGAGTCATCAGGTAGTGAAATCAGACTCATGTATCTTATTATTTTACCATTCCCCTTGCATTGACTACCTTTTAAGTGCAAGTTCACGATTTTCAGTCTTAATGCTGAAATGCTAAAATCCACAACTGTTTATTTAAAAGCAAACTGTCTGTTTAAGTGTGATTTTTAAGTTGATTTCTTAATACTTTAAAAAAAAGAGAGAGATTGAATTAAACATGTATGAAATGATAGAATTCCTCAAAATCAGCAGAAAATCTGTGGAGGTGAGAAAATCTGTGGAGGTGAGAAATAAGATTAAAAATAAGAATCTCATACAGCTTTTTGAAAGCCTCTTCAGCACATAACCACTGGATTTATATGCATATGTAGATTGCATCAGATTAGAATTCACATGGCAGGGATTGAATTCTTTTATTACTGTTTTTGATAATGAAATAAATTTTAAAAACGCTGCTGTAAAGCACCCTACTTTCATTTTAGAATAGCAACTCTTTCTAGATGCATGAGGTTCTCTATACAGTGAAAACAGGATAGCTGTCATGATTTTCAGATCTGTAGGACAGCATTTTTGCATGACAAACTGAAATAAATTACCTTTGTGCTACTGAGGCACCTGTGCCTGGCTCACTTGCGTACTCATTTATACAGAGGATAACTTTCAGCATGAATAGAAACAGTAGATAATGCTATTAAGAAATTCTCTGCTTTCACACTGATCTGCTGTTGCATAAGTCTCTGATTCAATGGTAACACCTGTTTTGGCATTCTGGTGGAAACTTGAAACAGCTCTTTTTCACTTGGTGTTCTGGGGGCTTGGAGCTACTCACAAGCTCTGAGAAATAGCGTCCGGCTTCTAATCAGTTACCTTGCTGAGCAATAATGGCACCATATATATTTAGTGAGCCTGTACAAAACTTGTTTATCTGGATGCAGCTTTTTAAGAGTTGTTTTTAAAGGAGAAGGTTATGAAATATGAAGCTGATTTACTGATGATGCATGTTGCTTTTGAGCATCAACACTGTCACGGTTTGCTATGCTCTTTAATCCATAAAAATCTGACTTCTTTCAGCATGTGTTAATGTCATCCACAGGAACATAGGCAGTATCATGTTTACTGAGCCCAAGAGCCACAGGTAATGTCAACTGCTTCAGAAATTGACCTTCGTAGGTTTATAATAGGACGATGGAAGATTTTTCAGAAAGAATAAAATCATATTAATGCAGGTGTAAGATGTAGAAGTGTTCACTGTGATAAGATAAAGTGTGTGTGTGGGTATATTGAAGCATAAAAATTGAATGAGAACAGAAATCTCTTCAGTCGTAACACTAGTGTTCAGGGTGGATACTGCTGCATGCATAGCAAGACTTGAGAGATTTTTCCGTTACTACCATTTTATAAGTGTGTTTTGATTGTGTATGCCCTACCCAAAGTAGAAGGATGCAAGCCTATTTTCTCTAAATTGTTCGACTGGTCCTAATAAGGCATAGTAAAGCACATTCAGAAATGCATTATTTTCAGCCAAGTATGTTTAAATCCATGGAGTTTGTGTGAAGTAGGATATCTTGCTTGAAAAAAGGGCTATTTCGTGATCAATTAGCATATTTGCAAAAGGTAAATCAGGAAGATCTTTTTGTTTCGTGTCTGTTTGTTTCGTGTAAGAAGCCAAGGCTGCTTTTAAGCATTCAGGTTTTTTGAATACGACCCATTTTATTTCTTCCTTCCCTCAGTCCCTCCACTGTATCACCTTGAAACTATCAGATATAAAGTTTAAAGAAAACCCATTTTTTCTAAGCAAAGTAATGTTTTTACAATAGGACATAACCTTATTAAAGGTGAGTCAATTTGCTTTCTGGTTTAGTCTCCGTAATTGTGTGACTTGGTCATGATTTCTTCCAATTTATCTTTGTAAACTTCAAAGCCTCTTAATTCGGTTTTGTGTTTAGATCTGTATTTACTGACTCGCTGTTTGAGTGTTTGAGCTTGGACAGAACTTTCATTTCAGAATCTCTAGTTTTAAGTGCATTTCCCATATCTGATACAATGGCAATGTTTTTGTTGCTGAAAATGACCCTAGAACAGAGGAGCCCATACGGACGTAGGGAACGATGTTTCTGGTTTTGCGTCATGTAAGTGCCGTTCACCTTCACTACAGAAATGAGGGGTAACCAAGGAATGTCTGCAAAGGCTGCTTCCAGGGTAGGAAGGCTGATAAGTACCTTTCCTTAGGTCAGTCTGTTTCGTGGGAAAAGATCTGATCCCTTTTAGATAGTCTCCTACCTATCTCCACCTGTATTAGTACTAATCCTATCCACACCTCTTCCCAGCTATCATAGTTGGGATATATATGGCTGCTTGTGTTCCTAACCTAATCCTATTTCTGTTTTAAATCTCTTCCATGTGCAGTCTTACTGGGCAATTACACTTGTACGTTATTTTTTTAATTAAATATTTTCTGTTTAAAAGAGAAACAATTAGCAGGATCCGAGCCTCTTAGACTTTGTTTTCTGTTAACAGTAGTCATATCTTCAAGGAGTGAATATTAGTTTTTTCTGAATGGAGGAAGTTCAGGGTTTTTTTACCACTTCCCAAGTTCTTCAATTTGGTATGGATCTTTCCCAGCTAATTATGCTAATGACTTGAATTTTTTGTTAGAATGTCATAAATCAGTTCTGCTGAAAAAGGATCCCAGCCACCTTGGTTACATTTCTCAGAAAAGCCTAAGGTGTTAGGGAGTGCTCTTTCAAAAAGTCCTGAATAAATGGAGTTGAAAATCAGTTAGCAGTCTCTTGTCAAAACAAACCACAATGAAATATATGAATTTGTAATTTTAAGAATACTTCTTAAATAGATTCTGTTATTCTGTTAGGGATATTTTAGACGTTATCCTTATGTGGCAGAAAGCAGAACCTGTACTTCTCAGAATTTCATCTTCTGATGGACTTGCTACACAAAATAGGCTGCATAACTTTTTAAGAGGCTGGAGGAAATGAAACTTGCTAAAACTCATACCTACTTTGTACCATGATGCTGTTGATAAGTGATTGCAATGAAGATAATTGCAAACAAGACTTACAATTTTTCAAAAAAAGGTGCCATTTCTGCTGAAACATTACTAACTCTGCTAGCTGTGTTGTCTGGGGAACCATTATTTTGTTTGTGTTTTTTTTTTAAAACAAATTCTTTTGAAAATCTTTGGTACAGACGCAGTCAAATCTAGAAATGAGACATAAGGTAATATTTTGTCCTGAGGATTAACATATTTTTATGGTAAAGCACAATGTTAATATATCTGTTTTGACATTATTACTTCAGACTATGCTATGGATATGCTAATGTATTTTTTTCTTATTTAAATATTCCATACAGAAGTATATTTAAGCAGGTGAGACCTACAAATCCTAAGAGAGGATTAAGAATAGTTTGTTTCTGTACTGCATCTGTCTC